TCTTGGCCTCCCAGCGTGCATTCCCTTGTAGAGATTTCTCTACAGGGTGGAGGGGCCTAAATAATATTTCCTGTGATCAGTCCCTTATAAATGGCTCTGGCACATTTCAGAACTCCAGTTTGGAATTCTGATACATTGCACCTTCTCCCCTTTATCCCCCCCCCCAAAAAAAGAATGATAGGTTTGAAAACCTCCGGGGCTTATCCTTAATGGGCTTTGGGCACTGGTTACTGCTTTTGATAGCTCTCTGTTTCCATGTTCTTTGCAGAGCTAGTAGAGATTCCTGGTGCTAACTCTTCCCATGCCAATGGATCTCTGCATCTCTCCTGCTATGCTATGCTAATTCTGTCGATCCCAATTCCTGCCCTTGGATATCCACATCAATTGGCTCTCCAGAACACCTTTCCTTGCAATTAGGCTTGCTTTATTAAATATCTAGCTTGGGGAAAGATGATGTAGTTTGCCCAGGTAACAACTCAACCTATTATAGTACATACTCCAGTGAAGAAACAGGCTATGTGAAGACTGGGAGTGGTGGCAGTCATTCTGTTCCTGGTGCTTCCTGATCTCCGCTGAATAATCTTGGTTTTGTGATGCCCATGGTCAGTGTGTGGAATAGGCCACGTATGCTTTGAACCAGCCAATAAATTTAATGTGAAGAGTGTCCTGCTGCATATTTTATGTGTGTGTGTGTGTGTGTGTGTGTGTGTGTGTGTGTGTGTGTGTGTGTGCTTTGAATGTCAACAGAAACTTCCCCAGAGAATTCCAAGCTCTGCTCCTGTTTGATTTTGTTAAAGCCAGGAGGCTGCTGAAAACCTCTACTAGCTTTGCTTAGATTTGTCAAGCAAGGACATTAATTTTCTCTACCATTTAAAACTTTTCTGTGACCTCATTCATGCATTGTACTAAGCCAGAGGTCTTCAAACTTGGCCTAAGTCCACAAGTCATAAAAGGGCCAAGTTTGAAGACTCCTGTACTAGGTCCTAGCTTCTAATGGTTGCACATGTGAACCCAACCAACTGCATTTTAGTTAATAAACTGTAATTAAAAAAACATGGCTTGACATAATAGTGAAGAACTGTCTTTCAGTTCAATAGTTGCACAAAAAAGACCTTGAGCAGCACATAAGGCCCCAAGGCAGCCAATCCAATAAGTTGGTTTAATTCTATTATTAAATACTAGCTAAACTACTTTCTGTAAACACTGAGTTAGCAAAAGTTGACTGTGGCCTATAAAGCTCCAAAAGCATCAAAAGTGTAACAATTAAAAAATCAAACATATGAATTATGCAAAAACAATGAAAGTATAAAAGCTTTGGCTTTATCCTGTGCTTTAGACAAGATACCAGAATTTCATCCTCATCTAATGAGGATGAAAAAAATGTCAACATGCATCTGATTCAAAGCCTGCAGAGATTGAAGCCCACCTGAAGAAAATGTGATGACCTTTTTAACAGTTTTATATGAAGCAAGGGTTGGGCTCAGTGGTCCAGCTGCTGGATTATGTGTCATTGCTACTTTTGCTTGGCAAAAACTCTTAAAGCACATTTGATAAGCAGCCAAAACCTAGTGAAAAGTGATCATTAGTATGAACTTGGTCCTCAGGTATAACCTCTTAGAAGCCCTGATTTTATTCCCACTTATTAACCATAAGGTGCATCTAAAAGAAAATGTTCTGATTCAAACCACATGCACAGCAATAGGTGAAAGTAGAGTATGTCTATTGCACATTTGTTATAGCAATATCTCCCAGGTTACAAACTCCCCCTCCCAAGCGGTTTAGTGAGTAAGTCCAAGCACACACACAGGAAATTAAAGCAATTAAAGCAGGTAAATGTCCCCCACAAGAAAACCTCCCTGAGGCAAGACCAAATCCAGATGCAAATCCAAGTCCTGGTCCCAAAAAAGATAAACCCAAGGATCACCGTGCAAAATCAGGATAGAGGAAGCACAGAGCCAAAGACAACACTCAGGAAAACTAATGGCGGTCTTCACCAACCACGCCCTCCTGCCTGTGTACTAAGTAATCCACAACCTGGTGTTCCTGATTAGGAGGAGCAAGGCTGTTTCCTCACGAACAGCCACCCTGACCTTCTCTGAGCTTCCCATTTCTTTGCGAAGAGCATCCTCTCTCTGACCTCTTTTGAGCTTCTCATCTTTCAGCTCTTCAGGTTGTCAGGATCAGGTGTGTGTGCGTTGTGTGTGTAGCAACTGTTTATCATCAGAGGCAGCCTGTTATTAATGTCAGTGGCAGCCATGCCTCTCCTTTCTCTTGTTGAGTGGGTAGTTGTCCATCCTGTTGATCATGCCTGATGGATCTGGGATGCATCCTCCTCTACCCCCAGGCTTTCTGAGTGTTCCTGGGACCCTGGATCCCTGTGTTTGATGGCCCTGGTTCCAGCTCACCCTCCTCTGAGTCAGCAACCAATGACAGAAACACAGATTGGTAGGGAAAAAAAGGGAAAGCAGATTTAAGAAGCTAAACCAAGGGTCAGTTAATGAGGGTGTAGGAAGTCAGAGCCCCAGAGAAGGAAATATTAAAAGGGCAGAAAAATATATTTTTCCTCAAAAGGATTTTTAAAAGCAGAAACCAACTTTGCCCCCAAGCCAACTATCCCAAACAGGAGCCAGCCCTACACAAATGCAAATGTAAAACCATCAGAAAGTTTGTCAAGACAAAGAGACTTAAAATCTGCATACCCCACCCAAACTCTAGGTGTCATCAGCCCCATCACCAGGGAAGCAGGATATGATAATAGGATTAAACCACAGATATCAAGGCCTAGAAAAGCACTCAGAAATAGCCTCAAAGTTCATGCCACAGGAACAGGAAACTATTCCAAACAAAAGGGTATAAAAACCTACTACCCATGTGCTCAGCCCTTCTTCCCTCTGCTCTTTCCTGCCTCTTCAATAAACTGTAACCTTCTTCCCAAAGCAGTCACCATGTTGCTTATTTATTCCAGGCTTGGATGAATCAGGATGAAGACTTTTCTTTCTACAAGGGTTTAGAGAAAAGAGTCTTCTGACTTTTGGGTTAAGCAGATGTTCAAAAAGTTACCACACTAACTGGCTTGTAGCAGCCTTTGATGTTCACTCTTCCTATCATTGTGAAGCAGAATTCACCAAGTGTTGGGACTGTTCACTCACTGTTTTTTCACTTATCTGGGGTGGGGTGGCGTGGGGTGGGGCAAGACCCAACGGCTCTTGCTTCCGGATTCAAGAGCCTGGCACTGGCTGAGCACAATCTGCTCCAAGAACAGGATCAGATGGAGAGTTTGGGAAGGTATGCCTATCAAACTTGTAAGGCAAGTGTTCTAAGACAAGCTGAGGAAGGACAGAAACCATCATTGGAGCACAAGGGCAAAAACTTGCTTGATCTTGATTTCAGTAGAAATAGACCATGAGCAATCCTTCTGACTTTTGGGGTTTTACATCCAAACTGGTTAGGTTCACACAAGTCACTGAGCTGCTATTTGCTAGGTTTCATATCACCATCCAAAAAAACAAAAAACAAAAACCCAGCCAGCCTCGTATGGTGGCTAAGGCACCAGCCTATAAACAGGGAGGATCAGGAGTTGTAGTCCTGCCTTAGGCCCAAAGCCAGCTGGCCTACCTTGGGCTAGCTCAGTGTTTCTCAACCTTGACAATTTTAAGACATGTGGACTTCAACTCCCAGAATTCCACAGCCAGCAATGCTGGCTGTGGAATTCTGGGAGTTGAAGTCCACATGCCTTAAAATTGTCAAGGTTGAGAAACACTGGTAGTCTCTCTCTCTCTCTCTCTCTCTCTACTCCAGAAAGGAGCAGACAACGGCAAACTACTTCTGAAATCTTGCCAAGAAAACTGCAGGGACTTGTCCAAATAGCAGCCGGCAGTCCTTGAAGGAAAGCAAGCAAAATGTCACCAACGAACAAGTCACACGCTCAGCAAGCCCGGCTAATCCTATCTCAACTCCAGTACTGAGGATCGCCCCACCCCTTTCCCCGGGGCGCAATTCTAGCCAATCAAGGCACGCCGAACGCCTCCCTTTGTCCTCTTCCGCTCCAGAACTCCCCCTCGGCATTCTAGCCTCGCCTCCTGGCAGACCACGTGATCGCTGGGAAAGGCCAATCGGCGCCTTCTGCTTCTTTATGAACTGCGACTCGCTTGCCTTGCTAGCGGAGGGGATGGTCCGGAGCAGGTGAGCAACAGGGGTCGAGTGCTGGCCAGTCCGGCCGAAACTGACCGGGGTGATGACGAAGCATAAGCAGAGCTTACCGGAGAAGGCCTCCCTCTCTCGGGAAACGGTGTTGAGCCGAAGGCGGGCCGTCTTATGAACGGGAGCTACCAACGACGGTCGCTCGGGAGACCGTTGCGCCGTTTTCAAACGTTACGCTGACACCTTTTAGCTGCAAACGGGTCAACTGAACGTCGGTCACTCGGTGTTGGCCAGAGTGGGGCAAGGAGGTGGATTTATCTGTCGGGGTAACGAGGATTATGCCTTTTCATATAAACGCCACGTCGGGTTTGTGGGTTATTCCCACAAGGCATTAACTGAGTTAACCCAGTTCCCCGTATTCCCTCTGAAGTATCGGTTACTGTAACATCATCGAGCTCTAAACGAATCGGGTTCTTTTAGTTTAGTCCAGGGGTAGTCAACCTTGGCTCTTTTATGACTCGTGGACTTCAACTCCCAGAATTCCTGAGCCAGCACAGCTGGCTCAGGAATTCTGGGAGTTGAAGTCCACGAGTCATAAAAGAGCCAAGGTTGACTACCCCTGGTTTAGTCTATTATGCGGACTCAGCGTAAAAGTGCTGGAATTGGGGGGGGGGGAAGTGTAATTGACCATCAACTGCTAATGACAGTGGATGTAAACAGAAATGCACAACGAATAAATGAGAAATCACGATTGTGGGGAAAAAGCATATTGGACAAGTCGCGTTGTATTCCACCCTGGTAATTGCTACAGTGCTTGCTTGCTTTTGATGTAGGTGCAAACCCAGGCAGACGGGATCCTAAATGGCTCCAGTAGGAAAGGAAAACCAGCAAGTACCTTTGCCCTTTCCAAAGACCCTTGACAAACCAGGTTGGAAGGAAAACACTTTGCTGGCTGCAGGCACTTCGAGTAGCAGTAAGATCCCGGTGCTTTCCAAAAGCAGACACCCTCCAGAGTGGAGACAATCCCAGCCACAGGTGAACATGATGGAATCACTTTTGACTTAGGCCTGTGTGGTTTTGAGTTTCTGCTTATGTTTGTTTTGGTACTTGGCTGTATGTTTCTTTATGAATTAATTCTATGAGGCTGTCCTGTTCAAAACAATTCTGGGAATTGTACATATTATAAACTGACATAGTTTAAAAAAGTGATAACCCAGAAACTAATACACAATAAAGGAGAATATTTGTAGCTGAAATGAAGGATCGTTAGTAGTTTTCTTGCAGACATTTTGAACCCCAAATTAGATAACATGATCAGTGCTACCATAGTAAGGAGTGGGCTTTGTTCTCACTTTATAATCTAGTGGCTTGCCCTGTCAGTGTTGATGGGGGGGTGGTCTTAGTGGGGGTTTGTGCTGTTTATATACAACCTAACAAACCGTCAAGGAACTAACCCCATAACAAATGAACTAACAACCAGACTATTTACAACCTCAATTAGATATGAGTAGACCCACGACTAACGACCGTCCCTCCACGAAATCACAGAAAACGTATCAAATAGATATTTACAGACGTTCTTTTGATCGTTCGAGTCTCTCTTGATTCCTGGTGAGTTGAGTAACACAGTTCTTCCAGAAAACACATATCGTTTTAACCCAAGGTCTGGATAAAAAGCCAGGTCTTCAAGACAGCAGAGTTGAGGCTCAAACTTTCAGGGGCATGCTATTCTATTGAGCAGGTTCAACGATAGAGAGGGCATATCATGATGGAACTGATTTTAAAATGGAGCAGAAAGAGTTGGAGAAAGGCAATTCCTCAGCTAGGCTGTGTGCCTTGAAGGTATTTATAGATCAAAATGAATACCTTGAATTGCACCTGGAAGTTGCACGTCTATCATCATTGGGTCAGAGATGGCTTCTTGAGGAGGTAGCAGTTAATTACCATCTCACTCAAAGGTTCTTTCACTATCTCATGGACCTGATTGCGCACCACCTTCCAGACACCCTTATCAGGAGAGGCATTGATCTAAATGCCAGGTAGATGAGTTAACAGTCTGAAGAATCCTGTTACTTTCTTCAGGAATTACTGGATGAAACATCCAAGTAAACAGGACAGACTGGTGCCTCAGTCAGTTTGCATGGAGCCCTAATATGGGCTCTTACCCTTGTTTTTACTTCATTTTTCTTCAGTGGTTCTCTAGGTGTGTCTTGTCATTTCATTCCCTGGAGCTTCTTAGAAATTCAGGGAACCCCAAGAGCGATCACATAAAAGCAATCAATCCAATACCATGGTTATCTACCAGTTTGAATGCTGGGCCCAGGCTTGATTGGTTTCAAATAACAGCTCAACTTTCCTTATGAATAGTCTGGCCCAGTTTTCCACCATATCTCTCCCTGTCTGTCAGAACTGATGTGAAGCTATGAAGGGGTGCCTTTCTTCAACTGAGCTTGTGGCTCCCCGAAGGGAAGCATGTACCAGTGATATTTCTATGAAGCAAATGGCCGGCCTTGATGGCTTGCTCAATGGCCTTCATGCAGAGTGCTTTTCTTTCAATATTGTGGTGCTGTTTCTGTACAACATTTAGAATGGGGTGACTGTGTTAAGCAAAATAATGCTGCTTTGTACATCTTCAGTGTTACTGTACATTGCTAATGGTTTTGGATATATTTTTTTCCAGCTGAGTAATTTATACAACATAATTTAATTTGCGTGTACACACACACATATTTACTTTATAGTTATAGAGCAGGGGTGTCAAACTCAATTTCATTGAGGGCCACATCAGCATTGTGGTTGCACTCAGGGGGCCGGGTGGGTGTGGCCAGGGTGGGTGCAGCCTACTGGGTGGGCATGGATGGAGTGGGTGTGGCCTACTGGATGGGTGTAGCCAGCTCTACATCGTTCACGTCAAGGGTGCCTGTGGGGGCCTGGGCAGGAGTGGGATAGATCTGAGGGTCTCTGGCAGAAGGGGGTGGGACCAGGGCAAGTGCCAAGGCATGGCCCACTGGAGGAGCCTCACTGTTCCTCTCAGGCCATGCCAGGGGGGGGGCTTATGGAGCTAAGACTGAATGCGTTTCAGCATAGATGGCCACCACAAAATTGTACATTGGCTCCCAGCTGGCCTGAGCCAGGGCCAAGGCAGAGGGGGCCACTCCCTCACTGTTTCCAGGATGGCTTCACGGGCCACATGAAACCACTTCGCAGGCCACATCCGGCCCGCGGGCCTTGTGTTTAACATGTCTGTTATAGAGGAATGAGAATCCGCTGTGAATGGGGTGGCTATAAAGGTAGTAAAACAAATAAATGTTGCTTGGGACACTGTCCTTTGGGGTTCTGTTTCAGGCCCCAGTTGTTCACTGAAGAATAATGTGGTCAGAGTAGAAGAGCCACCAATATAGGAGCGGGAAACCTGGCTTTAGGCTGATTCTGCTCTTCTCCAACTAGGGCTACCACTAGGGCACGTTTTTATAGGAAGACAGCAGTAGCCTGAGTTTTTTAATCCTCTTGTTTTCTTCGCAGCCATGTTCTTTCAAAGCGAGGACTTACGAGATGTCTCATTCCAATCCAGTTCTGGAATTGGCAGTTGGGTTAGCCCCCAAGACCCCTACCAGAGAACCCTTATCAGAGATGCAGTTAACCACCCCCGGTTGTAGGAATGAAGGTGATGTGTCTCATGGCAAAGGTATAAAGATTATTGTTCCGCACCCATCCTCCTGGCCTCCTATAATGGCATGAAGATCTGGCACAGCCAGTTGTCGTGAGCCGCAACGGAAGTGCATCATGCTGGAGGTGGCTAATGGGTTAAGACAAGATTCCACCTCACCCTCATGTGCACCCTGCTCCCTTCCTCCCCATCGTTTAATTGTAAATTATTACTCTCATTGTTTATCGCTGCAATGTTTTATTGGCTTTTAATGTTTGTAAGCCACCTGGAGCTGGCTCTAGGTGAGATGAGTGGCAAACAAGTCTATTTATTTATTTACTAGCTGTACCCGGCCACGCGTTGCTGTGGCTCAGTCTGGTTAAATGGAAAAGAAAGAAAAGAGAAAGCGCACGTTTGTAAAATGTTTAATTTCACAATGCTTGTGGGTATGCTTTTACGTCCAACAGATGGTGCTGTTTTTCAAAAAAAGCATGTTTTTACCTGTCACAGGTGTGACATCTATATAATAGTAGGTATATAAAAACACGCGCGTATTCAAATGCAACGTTGTGTCAAAATTTCAAAGCAATCAGTGAAGAACTTTCAGAGATTTAAGATTTTGAACAAACAAACATTTACATTTTTATTTATATAGATCAGGGGTAGTCAACCTTGGCTCTTTTATGACTCGTGGACTTCAACTCCCAGAATTCCTGAGCCAGCATAGCATAGCTGGCTCAGGAATTCTGGGAGTTGAAGTCCACGAGTCATAAAAGAGCCAAGGTTGACCACCCCTGATATAGATTGAAATGGATCAGTTTTTGTACACCATTTTAACTTGATTGAATGAGCCGTCACTTGATAGAATTCTGGCTGTCTGTTTAGGCATTGCAGGCAGCTAACTTTGGATGTGATGGATTAGTAACTTTAATTTAGGGGATGGTATTGTTAAATTTCAGCTCCCACTGATACAGGCGGTGTTGCTAATGGCTGGGAATTATGGAAGTTATGTCCTCAGCAAAGTTTTGTGAGTCGCAGATGTCCTCCTGCAGTGCCAAACCATGCCTGAATATAGAACAAAGGTCTCAGGATCTTTGTTCCTGTGCTTGGTAATCCATGGCTTGTTGGGTTGTCTGGAATTGTGGTTAATCATAATAATGACAGGTGGTAATAATTTGAATCAACAGCATATAATGCAGTACTAAGATTTTTTTTAATGAGGACTGGTTTGTAATTAACACTAAGTGATAATGGTAACTTCACATATGGCTTGTTGTTATGGATGAATCCACTGCTGCTGTGTGTCAACTGCTTTAAATTATCCAGATCAGTCTTGAAACTAGGTGTTTTTTTTGCATGGATAAATTATCTCCTTTTCTGCTCTTTAACCATAATAAAGGTTTGATTTGATTTGATTTGATTCCCTTCTGTTGTGACAGAACATACTTGGATTATGTAGCTCTTATAGTAGGCTGTGTGGTTCATGTGGAGCCTGTTTTCAATTGGAGATGAAATATTTTTTTAAAAAAATTAGTTCTTTCTCACTCTGCATTTAAGTCCAGCTTGGGAAAAATGGTGCAGATTTCTAGGGACTCTTTTCTTGATATCTGGTATAATTAATTACTAGAGGCCTTTCCCCCCTCCCCCCCGAAACACAATACCGTAACTGTGTGGCTAATGCAAATCCCAATTTTCCTTGCAGAAGTGAACACAGCCGAGTTTGTGTCTGATCCAGAAGCTCTTGCCAGCATACTATCCAACACAGGGCTGACTCACCAGACGGTGAGTGCAGCCCACAAGCCCAGCCTAGCCCAGCGAGTTCCTCTGAAAGGGAAGAGAGCACGGTTTACCAGCATTGGGGTAAGTCTCCATCACGGGCAAGAATTCTGCTGGGCTCCTTTGTCTTCTGTGTTCTGGTCTACTGAGTTAAAATGGAGCAGTGCAGATATCCAGCCAGGCACCTCTTGTAGTATTTCAAAATTAATGGTGGCCCTTAATTGCTGTTATGGTTCAACGGAAAATATGATAATCATCATCTGGAGATGTCCATGGAGATTCTCAGTCATCCAGGTCATGGTTGTTCCCAAGGTGCTTTTTCAAAAGGCAACTAGGTTTTGTTTTTCATTGAAGACTTCTTCACTTCTCATCCAAGAAGCTTCTTCAGTTCTGACTTCAGAAGACTTCAGAACTGAAGAAGTTTCTTGGATGAGAAGCGAAACATCTTCAAGGAAAAACAAATGTCCAGTTGCCTTTTGAAAAAGCACTTTTGGGACGAGCGTCTGAAGATATATTACCTTAACTATTCTTTTTTCTCTCCCCCCTTTGGGTTTATTGTGTGGGATGTTTATAAAAGTTCTAGTTCCAGCAAAATATCAGTTGGGAATGGCGTACATATGCAAGAATTCCTAACTAGGTTCATAACATTGTCATGATTATTGATAAACCATCAGCTTGGTTTTTCATAACACGTAATGCTAAAGCCAGACAAATTTTATTTTAATAAAGCATGGTGTGTGAACCCAGTTATGCATGCACAACTCTAGAATTAACACATCAACACCCCCCTCCCCCACCTCCGGGGTTATATTTCAACCCTGGATTGCCCAACTGAAGCTGTCGATGTTCTGTCCGGAGGTTGTTTAGATCTGGATGGAGAAGGATTGACTTTAGCTCAATCCTGAAAAGATGGAATGGCTATGACTGTTTGCCCTCCCCCCCTCCCCAATTGGGGGTGTTTTCATCAGTGATTTTAGATGGGACAGCACTTCCCCATTCAAGACTGTTGCACAGTTTGGAAGTATTCCTGGACTTGTAGCTACCACTCAAAGAGCAGGATCTGTAACCAGGAGGACCTTTTCACAGGTTTATCGTGTGCACTGGTTGGATCCTTTCTTCAAGTTGGAGGCCCCTTAGAACAGCCATTGATTTTTTTTTCTAAATTTATTTTTTTATCCTGGCTTTATTACTTTATCAGTAACTCAAGGCAGCGAACATATCTAATATTCTTTTTCCTCCTATTTTCCCCACAATAACCCTGTGAAGTGAGTTGGGCTGGTCACCCAGTGGGCTTTCACACCTAAAGAGGGACTAGAACTCATCGTCGCCGGCTTTCTAGTTCAGCACATTCACCAATGCGCCAGCCTTGCTCACCTTGTGATTGAAGTATTCTAATGCGTTGTACTCAGGGCTACCCTTGAAGAATTTGCTGGTTCAAAATGGAGCGATATGAGCAGTAAGAAGCACTTCTCACTATTCTTCCTCGTTGGCTTTTAGGTGCAATTCAAGGCATTGTTTATTACCTATACAGCCTTTCGTGACATCCAGCCTGGCTATCTGAGGGACTTCTTCTTGTGCCATATCCGTTATCGGACATTGGCGATCATGTTGGCAATCCTGTTTTTATCAGCAGCCGCACGAAAAAGGGCTGCTGAATTTTGTCCAAACCAGTCCCTTAGATTTTGAAGCCACGATGTTCTTCTGCCTTGACCTCGTTTGCCTTCAATCTTTCCCTGGAGGATTAAATGGAATATGCCGTATTTTTCTGGGTGTCGCATCACATGTCCGAAATATTCTAACTTTCCTTTTTTAATTGTTTTGATGATTTCCCTTGGCTTTCCCAGGTGGCTTATCACCTCCTCGTTTCTGATCTTGTCAACCCAGCTTATACGTAACAGCCGCCTGTAAATCCACATTTCAAATGCTTCTAGTCTCTTCAGGTGGCCTTCTGTCAGAGACCAACTCTCTACTCCATAGAGCAGGATAGAACAAATATAGCATCTGACAAGCCTGATTTTCAATCTTAGGCTTATGTCTGTCTCCAATTGTTTGTCTGGTATTTTGCCTGCCTAGAATTTTCACGCAGACTGGGTACACGTCAGGTCCCCTTTATTCAACGTTGCCTCTTTATGGGACCGAGGAAATATGCCTTCTGTGCCGCAGTCCCTGCCCTCTAGAACAGCATTCTGCAGAGAGATGAATGGAGTCACTCTGCCAGGCTTCAGGAAGAAGGCTTTTAAAACCTGGCTTTGTTCTCAGGCTGGAATTTTATTCATTTGATTTATTAAATTGATTTATGTAGCTACTCATCTCGCAAAAGGTTATGTTTGTCTGGGTTGCCTTTTTTATGTTTTTGATGCTTTAAAATATTTCAGCTGTGTAATTGGATTTAGTAAGCCTCCCAGAGTCTACTAGAGTGAGTGGACAGCCAAATGAGATTAATAGATAAGTATTCTGTTTACTGGGGAAGGATTCAGCCCATCCAAGCTTCGCCCATCCAGACTGCGTGCACACTTTGTTTTCTTTGTGGATTCTGCTTGCCGTTTTCCTAAACCTAGAAAAAAAAAATTGTGGTTAGAACAGAGGAAAAGTAGATTTAACTACATAAATAAAATCCTCAGTCCTCAGCCTTTTCACTGGTGGCTCTCCCTTCCTATGGACTATTCCTCTGGAGATAAGATTGGCCCCCACCTTTTACTTTTCTGGAAGGGCTAGAACAAGTGATTCTTCAGGACCCCGTACTGATACCGGAGCCAGTCGAGTGGCTGGTTCAATTGTGTTTGTTGCCACTGTGGGGGAGTGCATTATGGGTTTCTGTACTGTGGACTTTTAATTTTGTAAGCTGTTCAGAGTCGCCGTGTTAATGCAGCCCGTCCTCACTTTATGACCACAATTGAGACCAGAATTTCTGTGGTTAAGCAAGGTGGTTGTTAAATGAGTCACATCCAGCTTTGCAACCTCCTTTGGCCCAGGGTTGTTAAATGAGCCGTTGCAGTTTTTAAGTGAATCATGAGGTCATTAAATGAGTATGGCTTTCCCCGTTGACTTTGTTTGTCAGAAGCCAGCTGAGAAAGTTGCAAAGGGCGATCACATAACCCCAGGAGGCTGCCTCTGTCCTCCAACACACACACCAATTGCCCAAGCACTCAAATTCTGATCATGTGACCTGGGGAATGCTGCAATGGTTGTGAGTGTGAGGACCGGTGGTAAGTCACTGTTTTCAGTGTTGCAACTTTGAACAGTTGCTCAATGAATGGTTGTATGTTGAGGACTGCATGTATACATTTGTTTAATAAATAAATATTAGAGGTACCTGGCATCCAAGCACTGTCTTTTAAAAATTGAATTTGGGTGTGTGTTCTCTCTCTGTAGAAGGCCCATACCTCCCTGGATACAGAGGCTCCTACAGTGAACCCTTCTCGCACGTCCCATATCTCCATGTCTGCTTCAGCAGGTATGACTTATTTTGGATTTCCCTTTTGGGGAAAACAGTCTTTCGTCGAACAATGTCTTAAGATTTATTCACGGAGTTCTCGTGATACAATTAACTGGGACTTCGAAATATTTGAAGACCATGCTTACAGGCCTTGGAAAATCGATCTGAAACCCCTGATGCTGTGTTATCCATTTGGTTGTTTTTTTTCTTGTCCCCTCACAGATATAGATCGCCCACAGTCTTTGCGCCTTGCCTTGGATACCCAACAACTTAAAACGTTGTCAACTACACTCAAGAACTGGAAGCCTGGGGTGGGTAGTTGATTTTCTTTTCCGCGTGGAAACATCAGCCAAAAAAACCCCCACAACCCTTTAAAGTAAGGAAGTTGCATGGTCAGCGTCAGTCTCTATAGTACAACTAACAGAGCTTTCATTTAGTAAGACTAACCCAGCAGTTTTCTTGTCGGTGTTGGATATAGTATTATAAAGTTCTGTATTTTCTCTGCATCTAAATCTCTGGCCCATGATATCAGAGATGGGCTGGTTCAGGCAGTTTTCAAGAAGAGTATTGCTATAAGTTAGTTGCAGACTGTGAAGAAACAAAGGGATAATCGGAGGTAAGGCTTTCCGTTATTGTTTGGCCCCAGAAGAATGAAAAACGGTGTACAGGGAGTCCTTGATTTATTATCACTGTTGGGCTCGGAGGTTTGTTATAAGACCGAGTGCCCAAAAACTGGCCTCGCCCCACTCCACCCCCTGCCCTGCCCCTGCTCCACCTCCACCCCACCTGCCCACAGGGCCACTCATCGCCTCCAGGGCCCGCCACAGATCGCCCAGCAGCGCCATGGCAGCCACGTTCTCTGCCCGCGCCCCGCAGCATCAGCTGTGCGCGATGGGGTCTGAGGGCAGAGTCTTGTCTACACTGCCTGGCTGCCATGTCCTTGGCTGCACTGCTCCGCATGGGCCACACTCAGGGGCGACTGGTGGTGGTGAGGGGGTCACGGGGGGAGGCGAGGCTGGGGCAACAGCACGTGTGCCCACAGAGAGAGCTCCGAGTGCCGCCTCTGGCACCCGTGCCATAGGTTCGCCACCACTGTTATAAGGCGTTGTGACCAGACTTGTGACTGGTGACAGATTTCTATTTTATGACTGCTTTTATGAGAGTCATTAAGCAAGTTGCTATAGTTAAGTGAATAATTTGATGGTTCAGCAAATCAAGTAATTCTGAGTCCAGCTTATCTAATGGGCCTTTTTGTTTTATTTTGTTTTGAAAAACAAAAAAAATTCACAAAACGTGATCACATGATTCTGGGATGTTGCAAAGGGTCGTAGATGCAAGCCAGTTGCTAAGTGCCCAGAATACAGTCACATGACTGCAGAGGTGATATGGCAGTCGTAACTTCAAGTTTGGGTCATAAATAACTTTATAAATTTGAAGAGTCATTAAGTGACTGGTCGTAAGTCAAGGACTACCTATATAAGCTTTCTTTTGGCTTTAAAGTCTTACTTACAATTTTTAAATTTTAATTTAATTTAATTTTTTATTTCATTTTATTTTTTATTTTATTTTATTATTTTATTTTTTATTATTTTATTATTTTATTTTATTTATTTTATTTTATTATTTTATTTTATTATTTTATTATTTTATTTTATTTATTTTATTTTATTTTATTTTATATTTTATTTTATTTTATTATTTTATTTTTTATTTTATTTTATTTTTTTATTTTATTTTTTATTTTATTTTATTTTATTATTTTATTTTATTTTAGTTTAGTTTAGTTTAGTTTAGTTTAGTTTAGTTTAGTTTAGTTTAGTTTAGTTTAGTTTAGTTTATTATTTTATGACTGCCCACTTACTCTCAGCAACTCAGGCCAGCTTACAAACAGAAACCTTTCTATATAACCTCCTCCCAGCTCTTCAAACCTCGGTGATGCCACAGGGTCCATCAATAGGGGATGCTTGGGAACTATATGTGCGTATATTTGTCCATCTCTATGTACACACATACACACATAACCTATACCAGTGATGGTGAACCTTTTAGAGACCAAGTGCCCCAAACCTGCCCCCCTGTCCCCGCTCCACCTCCCGCCCTGCCTGCTCCACCCCTGCCCTGCCCGCCTGCAGGGCCACCCATCGCCTTCATGGCCCAGGCGGCCCTGCAGCGCCATGGCAGCCACACCCTGTGCCTGCACCCCGCAACATCATCTGCGCGCAACGGGGTGCAAGGGTTAGGGTTAGTCTTGTCCCTGCTGCCCGCCTGCCATGTCTTTGGCTGCGCTACTCCGTGTGGGCCATGCCTGGGCTTGACTCTCCTCCGGGGGGGCTGCTGGTGAGGGAGCCGCAGGGGGAGGCAGGGCTGGGGTGACAGGACGCGCGCCCACAGAGAGGGCTCCAAGTGCCGCCTCTGGCACGCGTGCCATAGGTTCGCCACCACTGACCTATACATACAGTATATACCATATATACCCACTGTCCTTTAGGGTTCAGCCTCAGGCCGAAATTATCAGTTTTGTTTTCAGGCAACAGAGTGAGCCGTGTAGCCAGGAATGTCAAAAGAGGCAAAGATTTGCCTGCAAAATGTGTTTCCAAAGAGGAGCATACAGAAGAGCTGGTCAAAGCTGGTCCAGGATTGAAGAGCTGGGTCAAGGTTGTCAGCCATTTCAAGGGTCTAAAGTTCAAGAATTAAATTCATACACAAGGAATCCCACACAAGCCAGACATTGTTTCCAGCAAAGAGAACAGAGGTGACCCAAGTCTCTGCAGCAAACTATTGCTAGTCAGAAAGTTTATCCAGTTGCCTGGCAAGAGACCTCATAGATTTCCTCTGTTGTGCTCTCCTTTCTATTCATCTGGTGCACTTTTGGCATCTTCTGATAAAGCCAGCTGTTCAGAAGGTATTTGTGGTTGATCTGCATCTGATTATATTTGGCTTTGCTAAGTGAGGTGCCGCTTGACTGCCCCCGATATTACAATCTTTTTCTGCCACAGTTGAGCAAAGCACCCACAGTTGCTAAGCCAGACATCATATGACTGAAATGCGACCTCCTGCCAGCTTCCCCATTGGTTTTGCTACGCCTTGACCGACTTTCTAGTGATTGCTACTATTGTAGCTTGTCTCTCTAGTCTTGTCTTGACCTTCCCTGGAACCTCCGGAAGATCAGGTCGGGGGACGAGTTCGTCCTCTAAGATATGGTAAAGTCTGTTCACTGACAGGTCAGAAAAGAATTTTTGGAGGTCACTACTTACTGGACGTGACATACCTCGTTCGACAACCACTGGTTAATTGTCCTCCCTGTTAGGAAGTTTCTCCTTAATTCCAGGTCGCTTCTCTCCTTGATTAGTTTCCATCCATTGCTTCTTATATTGCCCTCTGGTGCTTTGGAAAATAATTCGACCCCCCTCTTCTTTGTGGCAGCCCCTCAAATACTGAAATACGGCTATCATGTCTCTCCTAGTCCTTTTCTTTAGACTAGCCAAACCCCAATCCCACAACCGTTCTTCATATGTTTTAGTCTCCAGGCTTTAATCATCTTAGTCGCTCTTCTTTGTGCAAGCCAACTGCCATATGCCCAGATCGCAATCATATGACAATGGGGAAGCTGCATTGGTCATAAATGTGAGGACTACTTGTAAGTCACTTTTTCACAGAGCTGTCATAACTTCAAAAGATCACGAAACAAATAGTCAGTCATTAAGCAAGGATTACCTATATGTGTATGCACCTGCACACATTCCAATGTATACTTTGTGTTTGTGTAAACAAACCCTGTGTGGGCACAGACAAATATACCATGTGTTTGTTCTGGACATTATTATGGGAACTGCCATGTTCTGTCTATCTGCAGTGTGTGGTCTTGATCTACTTGCTCATTTTCTTGTCTGCGTTGGGCTTCGTACGACCTAACGGAGTAGCGTTGAGGAGTTGTTGCCATGTGGCTCTAGCCTTTGTTATTTGTGTCAGGTGGAGATGGCAAAGGCCAACCAACCCACAAAGACCGTGAAAGGGGACAATTCAACATCCAGTCTGGAGGCAAAACATCCGAGCAACGTTGCTGGGGGCAATCTGTCAACGCAAAGGTGAGAAAAGAGCCAATTGCACTGGAAGCTGTTCCCTTGCCATTTGTTGGGGTTTGGGTAGGTGGATTATGATTTATAATAAATAAAATCTTGGTAGTTCTGCTTGCTACAGATAGTCCTCGAGTTTTGTCCGTTCGTTATCCGTTCGCAGTTACCGTGGCCTCAGCCATTGTACTTTACAGCTCGTAAAGTACTTCTGGCTATCCTAAAAATGACATGCTGTGTACTCCTCATCCAGTCACATGACCACATTTTGGGCACTTGGCAACCGGCTCACATTTTTGAGTGGTTGTGATGTCAGGAGAATGGATTCAGACTTAACAACTGTGTCATCCGCTTAACGATTGCTATAAAAAGTATTGTAAAATCAGGTCTGGTCCCGTGAGTGCCTTGACGTAACGTCTATCACAACTTACATCTGAAATTTTGGTCCCAGTTGTGATTTGTATGGGGTATTTTTAGAGCAGGCCTGTTATTTAATTTGATTTTAGAACAGAAATTTGTGTATATTTATCGTGGTTTTTATTATCGCCTGTTCACCGCCCTGAGTCCCGTAAGGGAGATAGGGCGGTATATAAAATCAATCAATCAATAAAATAAATAAATAAATTCCAAGTCGAGGGATACCTAGATGGTTTCTCGGTGACTGAATTACCACACAGGGTGCAGCCTGGCTTAATTTAACCTTGAGTATTGAATAATTTATTCTGAATTACATGATTTTTCACTCCAGGTTTTTAAATGAGGGTTTTTTTGCTCCCCAGAGAGGAGGAAGGTATTTTCACCTTTTCAGTAAAGAGGAAAAAAGGGTTTTTAAATTCCTACCTCTGCCTCCTCCTTCCTCGCGTTATGAATTGCCAGGTAAATCCACAGTAGCTCCGATGCTTGTAACTCTCTGTTGCTTTTGCTCTTAAACAGCAGCTCGGCTGGGAGGAAGGAAATCACAGGAACCTCTGGGAAAGGTGAGTGACTGCTTTCTTCTCTATGATCTAGAGCAGGGGTCCCCAACCCCCGGTCCGTGGACCGGTACCGGGCCGTGGCATGCCAGCAACCGGTCCGCACAAACAAAACCCCATCCACGGGATGCAGGCAGCACATAAAACCACGCACCCTCCGGTCCACGGAAAAACCTCTCGCCATGTAACTGGTCCCTGGTGCCCAAAAGGTTGGGGACCTCTAATCTAGAGCCATGGGGAAGAGTCTCTTGTCTTTTTTTTGTTTTGGAGTATAGCTAGATGTGCCCTCTATGTCTGCCAATACCAGTGAGATAGCGCAAATCAATCCGTTAGTGTAGATCAAACAGTATGGTTTGTTTATCTTTCAGCAACAGTGGGTTTGACCCAGTTCTTGCCTCCATCTGACACTTGTTTTATGGCCCATTTGGTCTCCATATTAAAAAAAACCCGTCCTGCTCAACGCACAAAGCATTCGTACGGAATAACATTCTTCAAAATTAGATAAAGATGGTATAGGTCAGGGGTAGGCAACCTTGGCTCTTTTATGACTGGTGGACTTCAACTCCCAGAATTCCTGAGCCAGCCATGCTGAGGGGAAAGGGAGAGGTTTCCAAGCTGAGCCATGCTGGCTCAGGAATTCTGGGAGTTGAAGTCCACCAGTCATAAAAGAGCCAAGGTTGCCTGCCCCTTGACTTACAATAATTCATTTAGTGACCGTCCAGAGTTACTGTACAATGGCAGTGAGAAAAGTGACACGGCAATTTTTCACACTTACGACCTTGCAGCATCCCATGGTTGTGTGATCGAAATCCAGACACCTGGCGATTGATTCATATTTATGACAGTTGCAGTATCCAAGGGTCATGTGATCATCTTTTGCAACTTTCTGACAAAGTCAGTGAGGAAGTCAAGATTCAGTTAACAACCGTGTTACTAAATTAAAAACTTCCAGTGTTTCACTTAACACCCGTGGCCAGAAAGATTGTAAAATGGAGCGAAACCCGCTTAACAACGTTTCATAAGTCGAGGACTACCTTTATTGATGTTTCAGACGATATTTGCTGCTTCTTGATGGAGACCAGCTTTTCCCAACCTGGTACCACTCAGACGCATTGGAGTTTAGCTCCTTTAATTTCCCTCCAGCGGGGCCTTGATTCCCATGGTACCTGTTTAGGGAAACCTGGTATAAAATAGGACTATAGGTAGTCCTCAGGTTATGTCTAGTCATTCATCAACCATTCAAAGTTACAGTGGTGCTGAGAAAAAAGGACTTATGCTGGGTCCTTAAACTTGGAGCCATTGCCGTGTCTTTATGGTCATGTGATCAAAATGTGGGTGCTTGGCCTGCACCCAACCATTGCAGCGTCCTTTGGTCACATTCTCCTGCACTGCACCAGTTGCCTTCATTTCAACTCCCCCATCTGCCTGTTTCCCTGTCCATCTCTGCAGGGGATGAGAGAAGCCTGAGGTCCTTGCCCAGGGGTAGGCAACCTTGGCTCTTTTATGACTTGTGGACTTCAACTCCCAGAATTCCTGAGCCAGCATGGCTCAGCTTGGAAACCTCTCCCTTTCCCCTCAGCATGGCTGGCTCAGGAATTCTGGGAGTTGAAGTCCACAAGTCATAAAAGAGCCAAGGTTGCCTACCCCTGTCCTTGCCTAACAATCACAGCTGGGGCTGCCAGGAATGCCGTCACTAAAAAAAGTGGAGCCACATAATGTTTTACTTAATGACCACTTTGCTTAGCAAGGGGTACAAATTAGGTCATGGTCCAAGGAAGATCTGTAGTTCAGCTCAAGCTGATTTGAGGGCACCCCTTATCTTCTATCCTTACAGAGGAAGTGTTCACGCCAGACCCAGCAGCGAAAGCAAGCATCCTTTTGAACATAGGCTTGAGCCAGTCTGCCCATGGAGCCATGGGCAAAATGAGCCTGGCCCAGCGGGTACCGTTGAAGGATGCTCGGAAACTGTCAGTAATGTGTGACAATATGCAGGTGAGCGACATCAGATTTCTTGGCTTCCCTTGGTAATCCTAGATCAGTGATGGTGAACCTTTTAGACACCAAGTGCCCAAAANCTTTTGAACATAGGCTTGAGCCAGTCTGCCCATGGAGCCATGGGCAAAATGAGCCTGGCCCAGCGGGTACCGTTGAAGGATGCTCGGAAACTGTCAGTAATGTGTGACAATATGCAGGTGAGCGACATCAGATTTCTTGGCTTCCCTTGGTAATCCTAGATCAGTGATGGTGAACCTTTTAGACACCAAGTGCCCAAAAACCACCCTGCCCCCCCGCCCTCCCGCAGGGCCACCTACCGCCTCCACGGCCCGCAGGTGGCCCTTCAGCGCCATGGCCACGCCCTCTGCCCACGCCCCGCAGCATCATCTGCGCGCGACGGGGCGCAAGGACAGAGTCTTGTCCCTGCTGCCTGGCTGCGATGTCTTTGGCTGTGCTGCTCTGCGCAGGCCGTGCCCGGGAGCGATTCTCCGGGGGGGGGCTGCTGGTGAGGAGGGGGCCACGGGGGGGAGGCGGGGCTGGGGCGATGGCAGGTGTGCCCACAGATGCAGTAGGTCACCTGTCTTGCATACGTACACCTTCACCTTCTCCTAATCCTGTTGTCTACAGGTAATCTTCGCTTTACAATAGTTCATTTAGTGACTATTCAAAGTTAACAATGGCACGGAAAAAAGTGACTATTGACTAACGACCATTTTTCCCACTTACGACCATTACAGTCTCCCCATGGTCACGTGATCAAAATTCAGACGCTTGACAACTGATAGTTATGACGATTGCAGAGTCCTTGAGGGTCATGTGTGATCACCTTTTTTGACCTTCTGACCAGCAAAGCCAATGGGGGAAGCCAGATTCACTTTACAACTGTATTACTAACTTAACAACTGCAGCGATCCACTTAACAGCCGTGGCAAGAAAGGTTGTAAAATGGGGCAAAGCTCACATAACAAATATCTCGTTTAACAATGGAAATTTTGGGCTCAGTTATGGTCGTAAATCAAGGAATACCTGTAATTGTTGATAGGTTGCTAAGTAGGTTTCCACCTATGAGGAGGGGCTTTAATCTGTGGTGGCTGTTGGGCACTGACTTTGTTTCCTGTCCCTAGGGGGAAGGTCCCTCTCTGTCCCAGCCCCGCACGAGTGTGATGTCAGCAGGGAAGTACGGCCGTGTGCTCTGCCGTACTACTCCAGGCCCTAAAGGTACCATTTACAGAGGAGTGGGAACTTCATTTCAATTTTGGAGCTTTTCGTGACTACGTCTCTCTGATTTCTCACTTCTCTCTTTGCCTGTTTTGCAGGTCTAGCTTCTGGAGCTCAGCAAACTACCACAACGCTTAAGAGGTGTTCCAATGCTGAATGTACACCTTATGGACTAGCCAGAAGAATTCCTATTACTAGCTCTCAATCCTTGGTTTGTACTTGAGGCAATGCACTTGAGAATATCTGAACTGTATCCCTAAAATCTAGCCGGTTCTTGATAATATCTTGATGCTTGATAAATCCAGATATATTTAGCACTGTTGGGATCTTGGAGGCTAAGATATCCTTTATTACTTTGGTTCATATGTAAGATGTGCATCTCCACTCCCGGCCCATATTTTATGAAGGCTAAAACAATGTTTGCTGGCTTTTTGTTAGTTCAGGTACAATTCAACGTTGATGGCTTTTAATCCATAAAGCTTCTTTCTCTTGAAACTAAATATGTTTGCCTTTTTCTCTATTGTGGGTGGGAACGTGTGGCCCATTAGAGTTTGCTGAACTGTAAGTCCCACCATCCCTTATTACTTACTATGCTGAGTGAAACTGCTGGGATTTGTAGTTCACATCCCATGTATGCATTGCCCCATTCTGTATAGGCTTATCTGCAGAATTATCTTTGGGTTCTCCTTCATTTACACTTGCCTTTAAAAGGTGTGCAGGTGTCAGAAGGTGGCAGATGGTGACGTTCTAGTTATGTCACTTGCTCAGTGATACTAAGCTACCACCGCTGCTTTTAGTGACAGGCCCAAGTATTTCAGTTTCTTCATGAGAAAGTCTATAATATTTTCCATTAGCTGTGTACAGCTCACACCCCCATTTATGACCGTCCAAATTAATGATGGTTCAAAGTTACAATGAACTTGGAAAAAGTGACTTACCATCTGTACTCGCCCTTACGACTGTTGCACCACTCCCACAATCACATGATCTGTTGGCAACAGACTCGCATTTACGATTGGTTGCAGTGTCCTGGGGTCGTTAGGTCATGATTTGCAACTCTTTTTTTGCCAATTTCTGGCAAAAAATGCCCACTGGAGAAGCTGGGTTTGCTTAATGATTTCTGGATTTGGTTTACGACCACATGATTAGCTTCACAGTTGTCATGGCAATGTCATAAAATTAGATCTGACTCGACTTGCAACAGAAATTCCAGTCCAGATTGTGATTTTAGGTCAAAGATTACCTGTAAATCACTGGAAAGTGATATGCCATATCTTTTACTGTTGAAGCTATCATCTCTAAAGGGAAAGGCAGAAGAGACTAAAACATATCAAGCTATCCTACAGTAAGATGGTCTGCGTGGCTCAGAACTGCATTTCTGCAGTGCCATAATTGGATGCATGCTCAATGTGCTGTTATCATTGAATAATGACCCGCCACCCTTGTTAGATCTGCCCCTTTTGAAGTATTGTCTTGCAGTTCTCTGTGATTCCATTCAATCAGTCTCTGAATACTTTTCTCTTGTATTGGATCAGCGTTGCTCACCCTGGATACGCCACCGTACACCTGTTTCTTCCCGTACGACGGACAAAAGGGTGGGTACCCGTCACTTAAAAAAGACATAGCAATGGAAAACTAGGCAACTGTCTGATTCTGCTTCTTATAGCCAGGGAGACTGGCTCACAAGCTGATCCAGCTTCCTCTATTCCATGGGTGCCAAACTTGATCGTGTCACATGATGTATCGTGGTGTTTTTTGCCTTTGCGGAGCCGGGGTAAGCGTGGCCTGCACGTGACGCATCTGGCCCGTGGGCCGCCAGTTTGACACCCTTGCTCTATTCCATATGTTAGAGAGGAGGCAAACCTTAGATTAATCTTGACCTCACAAAACATAGTTTAGCATTTTTTCTGAATGGGGTGTCCATTACATGCCACAGTATCAAAATGAAGGTGCATCATGACATCATCATATAAATTTTGCAATTACCAACTTGCACCATAATGTTTGATACAAATGTATAAGCTACATCACTTTTCTGATGTGTATTGTCAGATATATATGTCATTTGTACCCTGGCAGATACCTATGGATGAATGCTCATGTGTTGGTATGCATGATCTTGTGGCAGTATATTGTATCAGCTGGTACATGTTTCTGTAAGAAAAATTAGTGTTTTGTTCTTTGGGGAAGTAGCATTTTTATTACTTAAATTTGTAATTTAAATTTGTATGCCAGACTATTTCCAGTGACTCTGGTTGTCTCACAAGTTTAAAAAAAAAAACCCACAAGCTTGATCAAATCAATAATTATCTGCCTCTATATATTTTCCACATCAAAGAATTGCTTCCAAAATTTGATTCTTGTTACTGTTGCCTGGTTCAGAGTTAATAAAATCACTCTGCATCTATTTCCTATTTGGGCGCTTCACCTTTTGGCAAATGTAAGCATTCCGACTATGAATGTGCTTTCAAAATTTTGGTTTTAAAGATATTTTAGTAAGTTTTCACTAAGAACTGGTTGTAATGAGCCATTCATTTCTGCCCTTGAATTTGTTCTTTTCAGGTCAAATTTTTAGACAGAGTCACTGGACCGACGGGAGCTGTTGGTTCCAAAGAGGAAGATGCCCCTGTGCCCTGGGTAAGTGTACCTATGGCAGTGATGACGAACCTTTTAGAGACCGAGTGCCCAAACCGCAACCCAAAACCCACTTATTTATCGCAAAGTGCCAGGGCTGCATCAGCACTGTGGTGCCCTCGGGGGGACAGGGAGGCGCCTCTGAATGCTGCCTCTGGCACGCAAAAAGCGGGGGCGCAAAAATGGGTCACCGTTTTGCAAGGCCCCAAAATGGCCGCTGCCGTGCCGCGGGGTGCAGATACACGACACTGTATGGTTGGTGAGGCTCCTGCTCCGGGCGGTGGTGGTGGTGGCCTGATGGACCTGCTGCTGCTGGTGGTGGTGTGTGTGCCAACAGAGAGGCCTCTGAGTGCCGCCTCTGGTGCGTGTGCCATAGGTTCGCCACCCCTGACCTATGGCAAATAATGGTGTTGCACAAGTGGAAAACATGCCTATAATGAGGGCTTGGGTTTCTCAGGTCCCAGGGCATCCAATCCTCCTACCACACGGCCCAAAGTTCCTTGAACAGTTCAACAATTTTTCTTACTTGTATCTGCCGCAAGTACAGGTAGTCCTCGACTTACAACAGTTCGTTTAGTGACGGTTCAAAGTTACAGTGGCATTAAAAATGTGACTTGTGACCGTTCCTCACAGTTACGACCTTTGCGGCGCATCCCCACGGTCATGTGATCAAAATTCAGAGGCTTGGCAACTGGTTCATATTTACGACCATTGCTGTGTCATCTTTTGCAACCTTCTGACAAGCAGAGTCAATGGGGAAGCCCGATTCACTGAACAGCTGTGTTATTAGCTTATCAACGGCAGTGATTCACTTAACAACCGTGGCAGGAAAAATCATAAAATGGGGCAAAGCTCACTTAACAACAGAAATGGTGGGCTTAATTGTGGTCATAAGTCGAGGACTACCTGCACAGCTTTATTATTATAGAATATGTCACGGATACGAGATACATAGATGTTCATTTATGCTTTGCTGAAAGCCCAACCAGATAACTCTTGATTAGGGTTAGTTAATTAGTTCATTTTACTTAGAAATAATCATGTGATTAATCTAGAGCTGTCAGATATGCTAGGAGGGCCAGTACAGCATTGCTTGTGTTTTGTGGTACATCATCTGTTGTTTATTCTTTCCACTTTACTGGTGTTGCAAGTTATGACATTCTTGGTAAACACGATTTCTGAATTTCTCCTAGAAAACTAAAACTTGTTAAATGTAGAATTTTAGCCTGTAAATTTGCTCAGTATGCACCTTTTTATAAGCTAAATGTGCCTCTACAATAATTTATTTTGAAGACCTTTCTGGCTTAAAAAGAAAGATTGTGTTCCTAAAAACTGCATTTTTGTAAAACCAGAAATAATATAAACAGAACCGGTTCTTTTGGCAGGCCTGGCAAAAGTGTAGCAGCTGTGCTAGGATGCTTGCTGGGGCTGGGAAATCATTGCCCAGGCGGAAAATGGACCAGACAGAAAATCTTCCTCATGTTTCTGCCTGTTCTTGACAGCCTTTTGGTGGGGATGTGTTTCAGAGGAAGTGATGTGACATTTCCCTATCCACACACACACAGGGGAAAATAGCTGTGCGCCTTTTTGATGAGGAAATGGCAGCATCGTTGAAGAAAGTGCCAACTGTTCCTGCGATTACCAAAGAAATGGAAAAGCTTCAGGTAGGCAAAGGAGTCTTAAGAGTGGGGAGTGTGGTTGTTGGGTTGTTTTTTTTTTGTAGGAAGGAGTCTTAAATGGGGAGTGTGCTGTGTGGCGATTGCAAGTAAAGTCTGAGATGACAGAAGTGGCTCCTGGAGGCTGTAAAGCTGTGGCCTTTCTCCAAAGGCTTGGACCCCAGGCCCGCAGAACGGCTCCCCAAAGTGATGCTCAGTGGTTATGTTGTAGCTCAGGATTCTTCAAACTTGGCCCTTTTATGACTTGTGGACTTCAACGCCCAGAATTCCTCAGCCAGGCACGCTCAGGAATTCTGGGAGTTGAAGTCCACGAATCATAAAAGAGCCAAGGTTGCCTACCCCTGGTATAGTATCATGCTCTAGAGGTCCTCTGTAGAGAACTGCAGCTCGTCTGTCTCTGAGACAGAGAAGTGAGTCCAGTGTGGATGAGGTGGAGCCATGTTGCTTGCTAGCTGAGCCGATGTCTCCTGTGGATTCTGACCGGGGCTACCTTTTTCCTCACAATTCTTTTTTTTTTTTTTTTTTTTGTAAATTTTTTATTTTTTTCCATATAATTCAACTTTTTCCTCACAATTCTTTTTTTTTGTGTAAATTTTTTATTAATTTTTCCGTATAATTCAACTTTTTCCTCACAATTCTTTGCGCTCTTCTCCCTCCAGCGTGTTGAGTACCTTGCCCAGCTCTTGCAGCAGGAGATGGACGGTCACATTGATTATGAGGAGGCCCCTTCACTAAAGAAATTGCACAAGTGCTTGACAGTTCACGGCTCACCAACCCTGGCGGCTTCCAAGCCCGAACTATCTCCTACGCCTCCCCAGGATCCTAAGCCAAGCTTGTCTGAAGAGGCTCCAGACTTAACTGTGACTGTTACCTCTACACCTACCTCCACCCACACCACTTCCAGCCAGCTGCACGTCTGCCCCAGCCCCTCCCTGCAAGAAGTTAGCTGCCCCTCATCCGGTGCAACGAGTACAGGTGAGGCAGGAAAGACAGCTTGAAAAAAGGCTCTGTGGGCAGTGGTGGTTAGGCACTTTTCAGGAAGGGAGATATTTGGTGGCTCCAGACTTTCATCTGCCACAACAAGAAGCTCTAGAGCAGGGTTCTCCAAAATGGCTGGTAGAGGAATTCTGGGAGTTGAAGTCCATAAGTCTTCAGGTTTCCAAGTTCGGAGACCTCTGCTCTAGAGCTTCTTGTTGAAATTCAGCTCATAGCACTTTTCAATGTCTGAGACATGCTATTTAAGAAATGTCCTGACTTGATCATGGTCCATGGACAGCAAAACCTCTGCAGATAGGCCATAGGTCAGGGATAGGCAACCTTGGTCCTTTTATGACTTGTGGACTCCAACTCCCAGAATTCCTGAGCCAGCCATGCTGAGGGGAAAGGGAGAGATTTCCAAGCTGAGCCATGCTGACTCAGGAATTCTGGGAGTTGAAGTCCACGAGTCATAAAAGAGCCAAGGTTGCCTACCCCGGCCTTAGGTCTTCAATTTACATCTTAAGGTCTACTTTCAGGACAAGTGGGATTGGCCAGAGATTATTAGAGCCAGGTCCATAGGTTAAAAACAAAGTTTAAACTAAAGATTACAGATTGCCAACCGAGCACCCCCTTTCCACTGGTGACTGGAGAAACCAGCTGAGAGTACTGAAGCAGTGCCGTCTGGGCCGTCTGTCAGGAAGAGCAGGCTGCCTTCTGAGGCATATATTTGGCAGTACGACAGAAGGGCTCCCTTACAGTTTTTAAGCCTTCTGACAGGGATCCTTTCTCCACGGCTCCCTGTGGGAACAAATGACAGGGCCAGAAAGATCCTCGAAATCACTGCAAGGGACTCTGAAGCGTTATGAAGGAATTGAGGGCACAGAAGGTGATTTTCTCAAAAGACCTGGCCCAGGAAAAGAGGACAAAATTCTGGAAGTGAGCAACTGTAGTTATGCATGCAATGACAACAGGGTTGCTTGAAAATGGGATGTTTTTCCTGAAATGGATTCCTGGCAAGGGATATTTTGTTCCTTATGAGAACCGGGAAGGATGTATTGGGAAAGTGTCTTACAAATCTAATCTGCTGGGGGGGGGGGCTTTTAAATGGATCCCCATGAGAGAGAAATGACAGACCAGAAAGTAGCCTGAAGAACAGTAATCCAGGAACCTGCAATTTACCAGGAGCATAAAAAAGTTAGGAAGGACCCAAAAACTATCTATAATCAGCCTGGGTTCATGCCTCTTTCTGTTTTGCCCCTGTAGGTCTTGCAAAACAACGGTTGGATCACCTCCGTACTGCCCCCCTTCGTTTCCATGAAGCCTGCCTAAATGACGAATGTGCCTTCTACACTTCTCGCCTTGCCTCCCTGACTCGGCCCTCGGCGCATCGGTGCCAAGAGCCGGTGGCAAAAATGCTGAACGCTCACGATACCATGGTAAGATGGAGTTAGCTTTGTTGATGTGCGCTGGGCGGGTGGCAAGGCAAAGTTACGTAAGCCAAAAGCAGCTACTGATGTTCACACAAAATATTCGGTTGAGAGAAGGCTCCATGTTGGACCCTTCTTTGAAAGTATGCTGTAGCTCAAGGAATGCCGATCTCTCCCCTTCGTGCATTTGTGTATTATGGGCTACGCTGCCATTTTTCCAATGTGTGAGTCTGTTTGTTGGCCCTCCAGTGCTCAAATTCAGAGGATTTGTATATGGGATGCCTATACAAAAAGGGCTGAACTTTTTATGCATGTTCCCACAATTTTGGATTGAATGTGCTGCTTAACCTGAGGTATTTTACTCATGAGATGAGATTTCCCCCCTCCCCTTTCTTGGCCTATTGTGAGGGCCTCAAAACCTGGCTCTGCCTAATGGGAATGCTCCATGTTGGAGGCGATCATTGGATTAGGAAGAAGATCCCCACTGCACCCTGTAATATTTTTTTAAAACTTGTTTAATCACTGCTTATTTAATATTTGTTTTATTGTTTTGCACCTTTGCTTTTTTATAAGGATTGTAAGCCGTCCAGAGTCACTTAACTGTGTCACATAAATTTAATGAAATATAATAATAGTTTTTTAGTGTGAAAAGGATCTATTTCTGAGAAAAAGTGAGATGCCAAAAGTATGTCTGTTTTGCAGAATTAGGGTCTCCAAAACGTACAGGTGTGTGTGCAGAGGGCAGAGCAAGTGCATACCAGAACATCCTTGGCATGGATGGGGAAGGCATGTTCTGAGATGTTTTCTGTGGCCACCAATAACTTCATATTAACCTTTATTTGAAGACGGGCTCATTCTTCAAACAAAAGGCTATAGGCTTGCTCTTTTCTACTTAGGCCGGATTGCTATTAAACTGCTGACATTTTAATTGCTGTGTTTGCCTGACTGAAATGGTGGCCACTGGCATTGTTGTTCAGCTTGCTGTTGGTCAAGATTGTCCATCTTTTTCTTCTCTGTATCCCCTTTATTTGAAGCTTATCAAGGCATTGAGTGGGCTGTTCGTGTAGGTTGTGTTAAGTGTCTGAAATCTGTAGCTGATTTGGTGCCGTGTCTTATTTATTCAGAATTAGTTCGGGGGTTTTTTGGACAGGGGGCAAGAAAGAGAGCCAGTTTGGCCTAGTGGTTAGAGCACCAGGCTAGAAAGCAAGGGACCATGAGTTCAAGTCTTGCCTTAGGCATGAAAGCTGGCTGGGGGATCTTGGGCCTGTCACTCTTTCTCAGGCCAACTCACTTCACAAGGTGGTTGTTGTGGGAAAAATATGAGAATGAGATATGTTGTTCACCGCTTTGAGTAAAAATAATAAAGGCGGGTTGAATTTTCTAACAGTTTTTTTTCCATGAGACACACTTGTGGATTTTTCCTTTTATAATTTTTAGAAATACTTTTGTATGCCATAGTAATTACCACTTATATGTAATTTTTGGTAATATAGCGCTTTCAAGAAGTTATCTACTTTTCCCCTGAGGCTAAGGCAGGGGTGTCAAACTGCCGGCTCGCGGGCCGGATGCGTCATGCCGAAACCGCGCCCACCTTATTGCCGGCAATGGAAAAACAGTTGCGATACGTCACGACACGTCACGTGACATTGCGAGTTTGACACCCCTGGGCTAAGGAATAAACTTAGTTCTTAGAGATGAAGCAACTGTTATCCCACTTCAGGAGATGTTCTTGATCAGATGTTGTTAGAAGCTTGATAATGGCCAATGAATATATATATCTTTGTTAATACTTTTGCTCTCTCTCTTTTTAATCAGCACTTTACACCCATCTCTGCAACTGCACTTCTTTCCCCACCTTGAGGAAGAAAGGACTCCACTCTCCTGAAAAAAAGGAGCCATGCCACTGTTTTGGGGTTGGTGGATGGAGACAGAAGCACTTGGCAGTTGTGAAAAGGGAAGAGAAACAGCTGCAAAAGCCATTCTGTCAAGGATACACTAATACTATATAAACAGGGTTTTTTTATGTAAATAATATATAAACAGTTTTTTTAAATAAACTAACTGTAAAAGAGTTGCCCTGGTTTCCCCCCCCCCCCCAAAAAAAAAAACGGTACGAGAAGAAAGCACGGAATTTGTTCCAAATTTACATTCCTGTGAAATAGCCTTGCCAGATTTTATTACAGGTGCTTTTTATTCACATGCCTCTTACTGTGTTTGTGAGGGGAGGGAACCTATCACAGGTAACTGCTGCATGAAGGGAGTAAAAATTTGATTTGCACATTTTGTGGACTAATACTAGTACTGAAATAGAAAAGTAAAGGGCCAATAGCCAATCTTTCTGCCTCCATTTTTTCTTCCTCATTGGTTGTAAAGTTATTTTTTTCAGCACGGTCATACTTTTGAACAGTCGCTGACTGAAACAGTTGGTAAGTGAGGACCACCTGTAGTCCAATTGCATGGTGACAAGGGCACAATATTGTTGTTGCAAAATCCTTCTCAGAGTCTGGCTGCCATCATCCACCAGCCAAAGCTGGGCAATGGTTTCCACCTGCTCTTCCAGTCCTAGCTGTAAAGGCATGAGGATCCTCAGTTCATGGATCTGGTCCCTCGTGGGAGCCGAGTCAAGAAACCCCTTTCAACAAATGGCAACTTCATCATTCATCCGTTTGTCTCATCCAAGCTCCAAGTGCTCAACAAAAGGAAGGCATTTATGTGGCTAGGATAGTGATGATACGGTATCATAGTCTGGCTCGGTAGATGACTTCTCCCAGCAGCTTCAGGTAAATATTAAGTACAAATGGTACGTAACAGCTCTGAAAAGAAAAGACCCGTAGGGAGGTACCAGTAGGTCTTGCGCTGACATCACTGCTTTCTTCCACCAATTGGAATCATCCTCTAAAGGAAGTGTGGAGGCACTGTGTCTCCAATTCCCAATTCCTACAAACGGTCCAGGAAGATACTGTGATAAATGATATAAAACGGGTCCCAACCCCTGATCCGTGGACCGGCACCGGTCTGCAGCATGCCAGCAACTGGTCCGTGCAATGCAGGCAGCACGCAAAATCACGCACCCTTCGGTCCGCGAAAAAAACCTCTCTACATGGAACTGGTCCCTGCTGCCCTGCTGATATAAAAGACTGCTGAGAAATCTAACATGAGTAGGTGTGAACCATGTCTGAAAATAATCCAGATAAACCTCTTCCTCCAGGGTGTTCCTAGCGATGCCAGTTCTATAAGGTTGACCAGGTTAAGAAACTGATGCCATTATAGGTTAAGAACTACTTTTATTGCAACAGCTACAGTAACAGAATCTTACAAGTCTGAGTGTGTTGTCCCCCTTCTCTCACTTTAGTTCTGTGTGAGTTAGGGAGGGGCTGTCGGAGATGCTTACTCAAATTAGTTTCTTGGAATGGGCTCAAGCAAAGGTTTTGGGTTGTTAAACTTGGTAGCAACTATTACTCCTGACCTTCAAGGCCATTCCCTATGCTTTCTACGAAAGGAGGCTGGACACCAGACAATAGTTGTCACAAATTGCTGGTTCCAGGAATGATCTGTTCAGGGCAGCATATACAGGTAGTCCTTGACTTACAACAGTTCATTTAATGACAGTTTGAAGTTAAGCCACTGAAAAAAGTGACATGACTATTCTTCACACAACTGTTGCAACATCCCTAAAGTCACTTGGTCAAAATTTGGGTGATTGATCTGTATTTATGATGGTTGCAGTGTCATGTGATCACTTTTTGCAACCTTTTGACAAGTATAGTCAATGGGGAAATCCAGATTCACTTAACTGTGTTATAATTTAACAGCTGCAGTGAATCCCTTAACAACTATGGCAAAGAAAATTCATAAAACGGCAAAATTCACTTAACTGTCCCACTTAGCAACAGAAATTTTGGGTTCAATTGTCATAAGTCAAGGACTACTTGCAACGTGGGAGTAACTGCCCTCTCCCCTAGTGAGGCATTGATAAACTCCAAGATTCAGCTTTTCATGCCCTGCCCACCCACACCACCTCGCCTGCTTAAGGAACAGGAGAACCACGGTTGAGGCCCTCTCGGAAAACACCCTATTCTTTAGCTTCCATGGATCAAAGAGACTCCCTGATAACTTGGTAAGATGCAGACCTAGTCTTTGATCCCAGTCATGAGGAGTCATGAGATTGGCAATCCGAGCGACTTCATTGGCTTGGTCAGTAGAGGTTGTTTGAGAACAACTATATTAAGCCATCAATTGCCTATTGCCTCCACTGCCAGTTGGCAACAAAGCACTCAATGGCACTGTCTGAAAGATCACTGGAGGATTATCTTAAAAGCCACAAATTTCCCAAACATAAAGTTGCCAAATGATTAGTTCACACTTGGTTTTGGTTTGTTTAAACCATAGTTTAGTTTCTTTTTGAAAAACCCAAATGGATTAATTTTGACTCATTGTGATGCACGAACTCAAGCAAACCTTCAGATGGCTTAATACAATGTGTGAACACAAACTACAATATCTGTCAGGACCCACTTCAACTAATCACCCAAGGAAGCAGAACTCTTGAAACAGGCATTGTCTCAGAAGGAAACTTTTATTAGGGACGAGTGATAGCAGGGAACGTAAGGCGAGATCTGAAGAAAAGCCCGCGTGAATGATATAATTAAAGCAAGCAATAAGGCCCCTCCCACCAAAGTCATAGTGTCCGTTTGAACTCCAGCCAATCCACAGGTGGCTTGATGGGCGGCTGACCGGTATGGTAGGCATCTCAAGGTCTTCTCCAGCTTTCCTTTCCTTGCAACTGTCTCCTAGATAAGGAGACACACTCCACACTCAAAAGGAGGAGGCTAGACAAAGAAAGAGGAAAGCCGAAAGTTACCAACACAGTCCCCCATGCACCCCGTTCCCCCAACAGAATGGCAGGCCCCAAAAGAATAGAAGGCAAAAGGGAATAGGCGAGGGGTTTGGGGGTCTGACACCATCTCTTTTAAAGTGGTGGTAAGGAAGGCTGGAGCATCTCAATTACTGCTATCATGTGGAGAGACTGCTGAAGTGACGTTAAAGGTAAGATGCAAAAAAAAATAAAAATGGTTGAACCAGGGAAAAACCTTGCTCTTGTCAGGCAAAAGGGTTAATTTTTCACCAAGCACAGCTGCACCTAAGCTCTAGGTAAAGTAGTTTTTTATCTGATTTGTTTCTATTGCCCCTGTCATGCCCAATGGGCAGTGATGGATGACCCAGCAGTCTCTGCTTCATTCAGCTACTCCCATCCTATTTCATCTGAGCTAAATGAGAACAAATGGATGTGCTTGCTCTTTCCTGTAGTAGGCCTTGCAAAGATATCAAGCTTTAACCACAGCCTTCCCAGGCAGGCTTTCAGCTCGCTGGAGTAGCAGGGGGAAACATTTCTCTTTGCCCTGACAAGGGCAAGAGGGCCGTCTGAGGAGGGCTCAGCGCACAGGGGTAGCTGCTTTCTGAAATAGAGGCAGACTTTAAGGAGCCTGCAATGTGCGGACCACTGCAGGAGAATATACCATTCCAGGATAGGGTTGCCAGGTCTGCTTCCAAAAAATAGCGGACAAGCGGGAGGGGGGGTTAAGTAGTAAAAAAAGTAGACTGTACAGCTTTAGATTACATACCATTTCATCATAAAGCTTTTGAATAAAAAAAATATCCACTATTTTATGAAAAAGATAGTGAACATAATGTGAAAAAAGTGGACTGTCAACTCAAATAGTGGACACCTGGCAACCCTACTGCAGGAAGCCTAGAACTAAACCAAAAGCAAGTTTGCCCACAGAAATGACTAAACATAACATTACTTCATCAAGTGCTTTGTGCTGGCCAGTATTTAAAGGGGCAGCCTGCAACACGGAGAGGTTGGAGATAGAACTTATATTGTGCAGGGAGGGGGAAAAAATGGATGTAGAAAATGAGATTTCTTGTATCTCTTTCTTTGCCACAGCAGATGGCAGCACCTGACTGACCTGAGTTAAAATTGAGAAGCTAAATAGAGTCAGACCGGGTTAGTATTTGGATAGGCGACCACCAGAAAATCCCAGAACCCATAGTTGAAAAAAGACCACGGCAGACCATTTCTGTATTGTCTCCTGGGAAAGAGCAATGGCCTCCCACTGAGGTTCAGAAGAGCCAAATAAGGGCATTAATAATTTGGAGGTCAGGAAGGCAGATTTTTAAGGCCCTGATGGCGAGCAGCACATCAAAATCCTAAAAGACAAGCTCGACTCGTATGAGAAAGCCTAAAAAATATGATCCTGAAATTATAGGTACAAACAATCCCAGTAAGACAGAAAAATGAGGGGAAAAAAATCATTAAGAGAGTCTGTGAATAAAAATCCTTGATAAACTGAAAAAGAAGCTGAGTGAAGATAGTAGCTAAGGAGGGGTCCAAACTGCGGTAGGGATGGAGTCACGGAAGCCACAGCTCAGAAAATGATGACACTGGAGAGGAGGGCAAAATATAGTTAGGTTTTGGGGGAGGGATGTGACGGGGAGGTTGCCCACTGTAAAAGAAGAGAGAAGGGAGGGTCAGGAATATAGGCAGTCCTCAGATTATGTCCATTCATTTAGCGACCAAAGTTACAGCAGCACCGAAAAAGATTGAAGTACGACCCGGTCCTCAAACTTCCAGTCACTGCACATTCCCACAGTCATGTGACTGTGAGTCAGCCATTCAGGGGCCCGACTTGCAATTATGACATCGCAGGGAGGTGTGGTCGCATCATCACCATTTATGACTTTCACTGCCAGTTGACCACAAACAAAGTCAATGGGGACGCCAGCAGAAAAGATTGCAACTTGCTTTGGTAAATTGCTCCTGTGGCTTCTTCTCCAGCCGGCAGCACCCAATCTTTTTATCCACACCTTCTGCTGGCCTTCTCAGATCTGCCTGTAGTCTCCACTGCTCCCCTACTCCCCAACAGCACCCCTGCACTCCATACCTCCTCGATTTACAACCACAGCTGAGCTCAAAATTTCCATTATAACGCTCTCTCCATTTCCCATTCATTCA